CCCGCGCTCGGCCCGATAGCAGTGCAATGGACTTCGAGAAGTAGGTTGCCCGAGTAATTGTGAAGCCGATCCTGGCCAAGTCGTCGTATTCATCAGTATCAAATAGACCCGACAAGAGAAAGTCCACTGGGGTCAGATCATCGCCCCCCCTCCCCCCCGCCCCGACTGTCCACGGGCAAACTCCAAGTCCTCGCGCGCCTGACGAGCGCGCGGGTTGGCCCTCTGGTGGGTCACCCAATCGTCGCGCGCGCTGGGGGCCACATTTAATTAGCGGGCGTCCTAGGACACGCGCTCGCACCTGTCTGTGCGCGCCGGGACATTTGATCCAAGACCGGCGCCGGCGGGGGCGGCGTAGGCGAAGCTCAGCTGCCAGAGGTAAGATCTGTCAGCGTGCCCGGGCCCGCTGAGAGCTCCAACGCCAGGCCTCCCCATCGGGGCTCTCGGCGCCCCTGGCCCAAAACCCGCCGCGCATCGCCCTCGCCATAATCTTGTCGCCCTCGACCGCGTAGCTGCGATCAGGGGCCCTGCCATCCATCCCCGACGGGGGCGCCCCTGGGCGTGCGAAAGGATGGCCGCGCGTTTGACGCTGCGAGCGGCCTCGCGCACAAAGATGTGGGATATGATGCACTCCCCCGCGCGACCGGCCTGCCGCCTTTTTCCTGTCTCGCTTTGCAGTGGCCCCTGCGTCGCTAGCCAACCGCCGAGGGCGCGCGCGAAACGGCCGAACTGGCCCGGGAGCTGCAGCGCGCCAGAGAACAGAAGCCGCCGCTGCACAATACTGCCTTTCGCAAAGAGCCCAGCTAGGGCGAAGCGCATGCCCTCGCCGGGTCCAACCCCGATGCTGTCCAGGGAGGTTGCCAAACTACTGCTACTTACCTGCGCGAGTGCCGCGAGATGTCGTGCGCCTCCTCCTCCTACATGCGATGGCATGGCGATTTAAATGATGTCATCTGCGTGGAGTGTGATCCCCGTGTCCGTGCTCGCGCCATCGACCTCCGTGCTCTGCGCGTCGGCGTAGGAGCTAGTGTGCGCCCTCCAGCTGAGAAGCGAACCCGCGCCCTTTCAAGTAGAAGAACAGGAAGCCCCTCGCGGGGTTCGGGTGGCCCGGAGACGGGCCCGAGGGAAATCGGGCACTCGGGGGCCGCGCCCTGCGTCGCGGCCTGCATCGCGCGAACGCGTTGGAATATGACGCCCCTGGGAAGATGAAGGGTCTCCAGGGTCTCCAGACCCGCGCCCCTGTTTCGCGCTTGCGAAGGCGGTCGCGGCGCCCTCGTTAAGTATCGCGTGAGAGACGCCAAACTTCTGAAGCCCCCATGACATGCAGGCCTGGAAAGCGATGGCGCCCCGGCGCCGACGTCGCCGAGCGAAGCCGCGGCAAAAACACGGCTGCGCCCCCCTCTGGAAGCGCGCGCGATGCCGAAGGCGGGCGTTCCAAGCCTCGCCCAGGGGGGCAAACGAAGCGGATCCCGCGCGGGCCCCGCGGGCCCGGCTGGCCGCAGGCCATGTCGAGCCCGACGACGCGAGAGACGTGGCAGATGAGCGGGGTCGACCCTGCCCCCCTGGAGGAGGAGGCGACGTCGAGCGCGCGATCTCTGATGGCCTGGGCCGTGGAAGGGGCGGGAGATGAGCCGAGACCCCCGCGCTGGAGATTCCCCCGCTGCGCGGGGCCCAGAAGGATAAGCCGCGACTCAGACGGCATGCCCCGCTCGGGCGTAGCCCCCCGCTTTGGAGCGCGCTGAAACTCCCGAGCAACCCCCGCCAAGTCGGCGTCGGCCGCGTCGGGATCGACGAGCGGCGTCGCGTCGCATCTCTGGTGGGCGGTCCCGTGGGCCTCCCCGCCCAGGAACGCGCGGTCGAATCTCTCCGCCAGCTCCAGCTGGAGGTCGCAGTCCGCCGCCGGGAGGAGCACCCCTCGCCTGCGCGGGCCGCCGAAGGACGCCCGCGACGTCCTGAGGCTCGCAGCCCCCCCCCCCCCCGAGCCTGGAACTACTTGCGATGGCGGGGCCCGCGCCCCTTCCGCGCCAGCCGTCGCGCGTGTGTCTGCGCCGTGCAACGGTCGCGCTCCTTCCAAGCACCATTGAACTCGCTCATGAAGGCGCCGTTCCGCGCTTGGGTAGTCTGGCGAGAAAGCTGCCTCAGACGAAAGGCGATGCGTGGCAGTTCCAACTCGATCTCCTGTCGATCAGTCGACTCGCGTCTGATGCGTTGCCCCCGAAAGGGGCGGCGACGTGCGAAAGCTGACGAGCGTGGCTTCTCGTGGCCCGACTTCTCCTTCTCCTCGGCCGTGGCCGCTTCCCGAAGAAGGACTGGGATCGAGTTCCACAGCTCGTCGGTCGCGGGGCGCGAGCAGAGCCGCACCCGCTCAATTTTCGCAATCCAAAGGAGGGTCTCGTGGATCCGCTCCACCGACTTCGCGCAACCAATGCCCCCGCGCAGGATTCGCGCCAGCCCGTCGAAGTTCCAGCGCGCTCCATGTAGACTGGCCTGTGGCCCCAGTCGTCGAGCGTGTTCGCTGGCTGCAGGCGGCGGCCCGCAGGGCGCAAGACTCGGCAACGGCGAACGCGGGGCCGAAGACCAGCAGGCGCGCGCAAAAAGTCGATCATGGAGGCGTGGCCAAGGGGGCCGTGGAAGGTCGGGCCTGTGGTGTAAAAAGCACTGACAGCGCACAGGGCCGAGCACTGACAGCACTGGGCCGCGGAAGGTCGGGCCCGCAGGACCTGGCGCCTGAGCTCGCCAGCGAAGCCCTCCAACTCCGACCCGCAAGGGCCCGCGTAGTCGCCCGAGTTGCCCTCCCGCGGCGGCGAGGCCGCGTGGGTCAACGGGCCCCCATGGGAGGGGCCACTGGCCCTTCGCCGTCCAACGCGTCGTCAGCGCAGTGCCCGACGTGGATATTGAAGTCGAGTCCGACGAATTGTGCACCACGGCAGCCCACGATGCTCAACACGGTCTGAGCCCACGGACAGAGGCCCAAGACTGTTTTGCGGAATTGGGGTCAACCACCGAGCAACGAAGGCAGCGTCGGGAACTAGAGAACTATGGGAAATACGTCCGGTGTCTGAAATTTGATACAGGCAGCTCCTCCTCGTCCGCTCAGGCACCCTGGAGGCGTGAAAATCCCGCGAATGAAATTCCCAGGGGAACGCTTCTGGCGAAGGAAGATCGACACTCCGCAGCTCTCGTTCGAAGCCCGTGTCCAGCCGAAACACAATTCCCAACTATAACGATGTAGGCAGAGTGAATGTGCGTCCTCGCCTTGACGGCGCGAAGTACCTGATAGCACGATCGCCTCGATATTCTTGAATGCGGTCGAGACGTCCGACGCTCGGGTGGCCCCTGCCAAGTCCATGGGATTGTAAACGCATGTCAGAATCGTGAAACTGTTGCCTGTGCCGGCTTGGGATAGGGGCCCCCCTCCATCTCCGCGGCGCCCACGACGCCCAGTTGCACCAGGGAGACGCCCACGACCAGGAGCTAACGCCTCGCCCCCCCCCCCCTTCTCACGGGCGGCGTGAGCCCTCCGAGGGGAAAGTCGTGCCACTGAACACCTGACTGTGTCTGTGGGAATACTGAGGACCGCGGGGGAAAAGTGCGCGGAACCGCTGACCCGGCTGGAGGCGGAAACCACAGAGCTCCATTCATAAAAGAAATGCCCAACAAAGGGGGGTGGGAAAAATTGCAAGTGCTTCGCGGATTGAGGGCGGGTCGTTTCCACAGCACGCATTCGGTCGTCGTCGTCGACGTCGTCGTCGTCGCCGTTATCGCCGTCGTCGTTGTCGCCGTCGTCGTCGTCGTCGTCGAAGTCGCTGTCATCGTCGTCGTCGTCGACGCCTCAAGGAGCAGAGGAATTAAGATCAAGTTGACGCGTTCAGATTGTAGAGCAAGTCTATCAGTGAAGGGTGATGGAAGGTTTGAGAGCGGGGGGGGCTGGATCCCCAGCGTTGGCAGAGGCAGACCACCTCGGCCCTGCCGCGCGGCAGCTGGCGGAGGCGGCACAAAACGGTCTAGTCCGCCTGCCTGTAATGCCAAAGGGCGTACGTACCCGCCAGGGGCAACGGCCCTTTACGTGACGCGTCGTCGTCTACCGCTGCAGCCACCGCGCCGTCGCGGCCGGCGGCCACAGCCAAGCCCACAGAACTCACACTCAGGCCTGAGCGGCCCACACAGTTACGACACATACAAATTTGAGGATGACCCACTGTGATTGAACATATGAATTGCCGGACCCATAGGGCTGGGGGCTCCCGCTCGAGAATTCCTCGAGATGGATTATGTGAGTGTGTATGTGCGTGTGTGTGTGTGACAAGTGAGTGCGTGAGCGCATGTGAGATCATGACGATGGTCGGGATGATGGTGGTGGTCATGGTGTGAATGGCGATGATGATGGTGATAATGATGCTGGTGATGATGGCGAGTGGGTGAGTGAATGAGTGAGCGATGAATGAGTGAGTGAGAGAGACAGTGCGGACAAGGATGTGGGCGACAAAGAAGGAAGGAGAGGGGTGATAGGGGTTCCTGCGAGGGGCGTGCGCAGAAATAACAAAACCCCCACTTTGGATGTGGGGGATGATGATGAGGACACTGCTTGATTATGGTTGAACATGACATGGATGGAGGAGGATGCTGCTGCACATTATGGTGTTGATGGTGATGGGGATGGTGATGATGATGATGATGATGATGATGAGGAGGATGATGATGATGATGATGATGATGGTGGTGATGGTGATGGTGGCGATGGTGAGAATGATACTGAGAAAGGATAATGATTATGATGATGCTGCTGCTGATGATGATAAGAGGAAGGGGAGAAGGGTTCCTGCGCGGGATGTCCAAAGGAAATCGCGGCCCCACCCAGGATGCGGGGAACGCCAACTCCACTTTGAATGTGGGGAAAACAGAGACCCAACACCACAGGATGGGTGGGGAAAAAACACGTCCGAAAGAGCAACGTTGGCCTCTTGCTGCAAGAGACCAGGAGGGAACCATCAGGCGAGGCTGTCCTGCCGCTGCTCCGCGGCAACCGAGTGCAGCTGCTCCTCGAGCACCTGGGGCGGAGCCCGCAGCCACTCTCCTCCCAGCCGTCGTCCCCTAAGAAGGAGGGGGGAATTGAGGATGAGAAAGGAAGGTCGGAGGAAGCATCGATAATGTAAGGGATGGTGGGATGGAGGAGTGATTGATCACTTCGCTATGTGGAGGGCTCGGACTGGAGGGAGGGGGTAAACGATAGGCGAGCCAGCTCGGAAGTAGATGGCCAACAACTCCAGGAGGACGAGGAGGAGAGGAGGAGGTAGAAGGAAAGGCGGGAAGAATATAGGCATGGGAGGAGGAGAAGGAGGAGAGCCGATAGGGGGCAGGAGCAAGGAGGATGCGGAGGGAGAATGTAAGTGGAGGGTGGAGGGAAGGAGGAGGGAGGAAGAGGAATGTTGGGGCGGACTTCTCCGAAGACAGCGGGCCTTTCAGAAGGGCGCGGACCTCAGAAGGCAGAGGCTTCTAGGAAGTAGTCGGGAGCGTCCTACGAAGGCTTCCTACAACGAACGACGTATTCTGAGAAGCACCCTGCCTTCTTCCAGTGCCGCCCCACCTCGTGCCGCCCCCTTCTATGCGGCGCCAGATTCGTAAACATAACAATAGCCTGGCGAAGGGCCCAACCATAGGCAGTTGTGATGACCACCGTTGTATGCACCGCATTCGGAGGAGCTCCTTATACGCCACAAAACGTGCGAGGAGTGTGCCACAATGGGTGCGGTGGGGGCATGCGACAGCAGCCACTGGGGCCGTCGGTGGAGCTCCCGATGGTGCCATGCAGAAGCGTATGAGTCATGAAGAATGTGCCCAAGTGGGCGCGGTGGGCGCATGCGAATGGCCGTCGGTGCGGCTCCCTATGGGGCCACGAAGCGTGTGAGGGGTGCCGAACTGGGTGCGGTGGGCGCGTGCGAACGCAGCCACTGGGGCCGCCCGTGGAGCTCCCCCAATTGGGCCGCGAAACGTGTGAGGAATGTACCAAAATGGGTGCGGTGGGCATGTGGGAACGCAGCCACCGGGGCCGTCGGTGGAAATCCCTAGGGGGCCACGAAACGTGGGTGCGGTAGGCGCATGCGAACGCAGGGGAGGAGGATGAGGAGGACTAGTGTAAGCCCAAGAGTCATCAACGATGTTGGCATAAACCCTCCCTCCAAGCTCCCTCTTCATAGGCCCCTACAAGGGTTCATTTCCACTTAGGGAACTGTTTCCTTGGAAGGCAACCGTTTGAGGACCTTGACGCACGCCAATACCACAGACCAAGCTGATTTTTGCATCTTGACGATCCTGAATCGTGCCAGAACGCCATTCTTGTGACTTCAACACCGGCGAATCATCGTACCTGCTGCACCCTCATAAACATGAATGAATCTCTCCAAAGACGAATGTCTGGTACGTTGGCCATGGGAATCCGTGAAACTCTTGCAAACGTTAACAACGAATGCGCGCGGCGCGAAAACGAGAACCACATGTTGAAAAAGGACCCCCCTCAATCCGTGAAGCTCTTGCAATCGTTTACTCAACATGTTGCAACGAATGTGAGCGGCGCTAAGGCGAGAACCACATTTTGAAAACCACCCAACCTTAATCAATGACACATGAAACTCTTGCATGTTTAACGAATGAGCGCGGCGCTAAGGCGAGAACTACATGTTGAAAACCACCCGCCCTGAATCCGTGAACCTCTCGCAAGTTAAAAAAGGAATGTTGGCCTCGGGGTGCGGTAGGGAGATATTGGTTATAAGGAAAAGGAATGGAGGAGGAGGAGGATGAGGAAGAGGAGGAGAAGGAGGACGCGGGGCGCTGTCTCATCAAAACGAGGACCCACCACTACAGAGTGGTTGGGAAATAGGATGAGCGAGTACGTTGTGTCACTCGTGTTTTTCCTAACCATCCTGTGGTGTTGGGTCTTCGTTTTGTAGGGACAGCGCCCCGCGTCCCTCCTCCTCCTCCTCCTCCTCCCGCTGCCTCCTCCGATGGCCCCAGTGGCAAGGTTCGCATGGCGCTACCGCATCCATTTCGGCACACCCCTCACACGGTTCGTGGCCCCATGGGGAGCTCCACCGAGGGCCCCGGCAGCAGGGTTCGCATGCGGTTCCCCGCCCACCCCAGGTCCATTTCGGGACACCCCTCACACGGCTCGTGGCCCCATAAGGGGGCCCCACCGAAGGCCCCAGTGGCAAAGTTCGCCTGCGGTTCTCCGCCCACCGCGCGTCAATTTCGGCACACCCCTCACACGGTTCGTGGCCCCCATAGGGAGCTCCGTCGAGGGTCCCGGCAGCAGGGTTCGCATGCGGTTCCCCGATCACCGAAACTGCGGTTCCCCGCCCAGTACAGCGTTTCGTGGCCCCAGAGGGAGCTCCACGGAAGACGATACCCACAACTGCGGTACTCACAACTGCGTATGGTTGGGTTCTTCGCCAGGCCAATGTTTCAGGCGCCCCGAGGCAGTGGGCACGATCGTGTGCCGAGGCGAAGTGCTGGGTTACGGTGTGGCACCAGAACAGAACAGACCAGAACGGCTATCTAAGGTCTAAGCCCAAAGGGCGGCCCGCGGGCAGGCGACAGGCGGGCTTAGTACGCTGGCCCTTGGAAAAAGGATCGGTGAAACTGCTGCGGGGACTGCCGTGTGAGAAGCAAGCAACGCGAATTGCAACTGTTCTCACTTCTAGGCCCCAAGGAATACCCATCAGTCAAGAAAATTCGGCTACCGCATCCATTTCGCTACCGCATCCATTTCGGCTGCCCCATCAGTCAAGAAAAAGGCGGCTGGATGCATCTCCCTTTTCCGGTGCAGCCGTTGCAGGCGTCATCAGTTTCAGGTAGTAATCTCCCACAGCTGCAACGAGGAGTGTATTCGTTGTTGCTGCTGCTTGGTGATTCGATGGCAATCGTCTGAACGCTCCTCACCCCCTCCACCCACGCGGCCGCCCTCGTCTGTTTCCTTCTTCTTCTTGCGGTTGCCGCGATCAACCTCGCGCTGGAACGGACTGTCTCTGCCTCGCCGCCGACGGAACGGAAAATGGTGGCAACCGTCCACGGGAATCGCATGTTTGCCAACACTTACCTCGTCAACCGTCATCGGGTGCCTGTTCACCTTTCTGTTGCTGTTTGGCATCCTTCCATGCGCTTTCATTTGCAGTGCTACAATATCCCATCACCACGCGGAGGGTGCATCTCACTCTATAGTTGTGGGGGTGCTGAAGGCAGGCGGTCCTGAGACTTTGTGTCATCGCGCACTTCTGAGTCTCTCGCAGAACTGGTGGGTCTTTTACAATTTTGCAACTAGGAGAACTCAATGCCTACGTCATGTTTCGGGTATTTCACTCGTGGGGCTTGGGGAGGTTACGCATGCCGTGCAGCTGTGCTGATAAGACTTAGGCGGCACGATCAAGATACTACTGCAGCTCATCTCGACAGGCGGTGCTTTATGGCAGCTTCCTTTTCTCAAGATTGTGTCTTACCTTTCATGTGGTGTACGTGCGCTCTGGGGGTCCACTTCGCGTGCTAAAAGGTTCAGGGGAACATTCGGTAATACGTTCAACCAATAGGGTGTAAGCCTTTCTGAAGTTTAAGTGCATAAATGGTGGAATAATGATGTGTCACGTTGTGTGTCGTTTGGTGGTGGTGGCATGCATCGCATTCAAATGGAGGGCCATGGTTTTTCTGATTGGTGGCATGCCGTATTCGTGAGGTTGTGCCTCGGGTTCAGGTACTCTTGATCCTTGTCGTCATGTGCGTCTTCAAGGTCACGGGGTGCTGCCAGCTCTAAATATCACCACGTGATGGCGAGACGCTTGGAGATCTCCTCCTCCACGAATACCTCTTCCTCATCCACTCCTCTCGTCGTCGTCCTCCTCCTCCTCCTTCTCCTCCTCCTCCTCCTTCTCCTCCTCCTCATCCTCCTCCTCCTCCACCTCCTCCCCCTCCTCCTCCTCCTCCTCCTCGTCCTCCTCCTCCTCCTCCTCCTCCTCCTCCTCCTCCTCCTCCTCCTCCTCCCCCTCCCCCTCCCCCTTACCCCTTCTTCGCTGGCAAGGGAGGGGTCCCTTCTACTCTTCCCCCCCTTTGGCGGCGGAGGGGGCAGGACTAGACAAACTCGGACGCGTAGGAGGGGGATTGGGGTTTTCGGTGTCATGGTTTAGGTGTTGGGGGGGTTGGGAGCGGGTGTGAAGGTTACATGTAGAGAGTGTGTGCTCGGGTTTAGGGTTGGGGCTTAGGGTGTTGGGACTCGGGTTTGGGATTCGAGGGTGTTAGCTTAGGGTGAGAATTGAGATCTCGGGTGGGTTTGAGGGCTACGTAGGGTTATGCTGTTCAGGTTAGTGGCTAGGGTTACGGTCAAGTTTCGGGTCTAGTGCTCAGGGTGAGGGCGTAGCTTTCTCGGGGTTGGTCAGCCGCTAGCCCCAAGAGGGGTGAGGGGGAGGGGCGGTGTGACCCCCCCCCCTGGGTGAGTGGGAGGGCGCGGGGGTTCCTGGACGATGGATCGGACGAGGGGGGGAGGGGGGGGGGCCGGGTGTCTGGACGGCGGACGGGGGGAAAATGGGGGAGAGATTCTAAACCCCCTCATCTGTGGAATCCGGCGGCGCGCCCTCCAACATGTGTCTTGTCGTGTTCCTCCTCTTCTTCCTCCGCCCCTGCCCAGCGCGCGCCCCCGCGTGAGCCTGGCGCTCCTTGGTCAACGCGTTCCGCTCCGCCTTCGGCGCGGGTGCCCAACAGACAGGATGAGCCTTCTCCCCCAGTGTGTGTTCGACCACGGATCCTGTGCTGCCCATCGGACGGATGACTGCGTTGAATGTACGGGCTAGGGTCTAGCGAGAGGCCCCATCCTGCCAGCGTCACGCAACAAAACCACGACAACTGTCTTTCCTTGAAATTGGGGCTCTGGATGCCTGTTCCAGGCCTCAAAACGAATCAAAACAGACACGCCACGAAAACACGGTCCCAAGGATGGGGTCGAGAGACCCAGCTCGGAAGACAGACACGGACCAAATCAAACCGAAAGGTTGACCCGTGAACGGGGCAGAAAGAAACATAACTATGCACAACTGGTGAGCAATCGATGTGCCACCGTGCGAAGAGGAAGGCGAACTTCAAACAACGTCGGCGATTGCCGAAATTCGCCGTGCTCTCTCCCGCCTTCTTCTCATGATCCTCCTCCTCCTCCTCCTCCTCCACCTCGACCTGCTTCCTCCGTTTGCCTCCTCCTTCTTACCCTCCCGCCTCCAGATCCTCCGAGGATCCTCCTCATCCATCCACATACTACCCCTCCCCTTGCTTTGCTGGAAACTGGAGTGTGTGGCTGTCGTGTCGATCCTCCTTCTCCTTCTCCTCCTCCTCCTCCTCCTCCTCCTCTCTGAGAGCCAATTTCCATCCAAGGGCCTCTGTGCGGGGGCCAAGGTGTTCTTTGGCGATGGCCCCAGGAGCCATGCACACGTACCGTCTCTGGAGGCCAACGGCCAATGGCGGGAGCCGTCAAGAAGGTGGGCCGTCCCCTCCCCTTTCCCTCTCACTTTGCCCATCTCTTTCTCTTCCCGATGCCCAGCCGAGGGCCGCAGACAATGTGCGGAGAGACGGTGGTGATCCACATCTTCAGTTACAGCGCTGGGATCAGCGCAGCCGTACGAGAACGAAACAACTACAGCGCTGGAGTCCACTGACTGGTGCGGGAACGGCTGCAATGAGCAGCCAAGATCATCTAACCTACAATACCGGGCATTGCGCGTGAAAGAGGGGCCATTAGGGGCACCCTCGCCGTGCCCTGGGGGGCGGCACCCCGGCGGCTCCGCTCGTGGGGACGGTCCACGCGGGCTCAGAGAGCCCACGGTGGCTTACAGGGAGCCCCAAGAGAGCCCAAGACGACCCAAGAGGCCTCCACGACGGCCCAAGAGACGCCCAAGTGGCGTCCCAGGAGGGCCCCAAGAGGCCAAAATCAGAGATTCTTCAAAAAGGAAAACTTACAGTTTGAGCATATGCGGCTTCTCGACGTTCATGGCGCTGAAGACGGTCCAAGAGGCCCCCAAGACCGCCCCAAGACGGCCCAAAAGGTCACCAAAAGACCCCCAAAACGGCCCCAGAGGGCGCCAAGACGGCCCAAGACGCGCCCAAGACGGCCCAAGAGGGGCCCCAAGACGGCCCCAAGTAGAGGGGGACCTCGAACCCAAGATCCCAGCCTTCCGCTCCAAGAAGCCCCCAAGAGGCCCCCAAGATGCCCCAAGAGGCCCCCGAGAGGCCCCCAAAGGCCCCAAGATGCCTCCAAACGGCCCCCCAAAGGCTTGAATGATGATATATACGGTAGGCGTCCTTTGGCCTTGCCGCATGCTCCCCGGGCTTTGCCCAGGGCGCGCTGGGTCCACCTGCCCAAAGGCTTCGAAACTGCCTCCGAGAGGCCCGCGAAAAGCCTCCCCAGAAGGCCAACTCTGGAACAACCCCCCCATCTGGCCCAGCACGGCACCCAAGGTTTCCGAAATCGGCCCACCGTGGCCCGGGTGGACTCCCAGGAAGCCCTGAAATGTTCTATTTCACTGAAGCCCCGTCGGATTGGAAAAACACACACCCCACACCTCTTGGCCCAAGAGGTGTGGGGTGTCCCAAGAGGCTCTTGGGACACCTCTCGCATCGTACCTCACACCTCCTGGGACACGCGGCGTGCGAGAGAGGCCTCAGAGAACAGCGTTCCTGGGTGCCGCAGGGGGGGCCCGGACGAATTTGGCAAGCCTTCCCGAGGAAGAGGTGTCCCATGAGGTGCGGGGTATTGTTTTTTTCTCACAGGTGGACTCCCTCCTCTCTTGGAACCGTCTTGGGGCTCCTTTGGAGCTTTCTTGGGGCCCTCTTGGGGCCCCAAGAGGGGCCTTCAACCTGTCACGAAGACGGCCCCTTTTCGTGACAAGTTGTTGGGCCTTTTTCAAACCCTCTTGGGGCCCTCTGGGGGCAGTCTTGGGTCCTCCTGAGGGGATCCCATGGGAGCTGAGGGCCCCCTGAGAGCTCTAGCCGACTTGCCCCCGCGTCTGGAGCTCTGGGGGGCTCACTTGGGGCCCTCGTGGGGCCCTCTGGAACAGTCTTGAGGCCCCTTTGGAGCTTTCTTGGGACCCTCTTGGGGCCATCTTGGGCTGGAAGGGGATGGCCGAAAAACCTGTCAGACCGAGCCGCCAACGCCCCGGAACGCTTTCTTTTTCTGGGACTACTCCCGCACGGCGCGTGTTCCTGGAGGCGCGGGGTATGGTTCTCCATACAGGTTCCACTCCCTTCCTCGACCTCCTTCTTCTCGTTGCCCACGGTTCCCTCTGCACAGTGGCTGCCGTCGTCTGCCAGTCACGTCGCTCCACCCACCTCTCGGATTACTGTCGATGCTGCCATATCCGATGCTGCTTCAAACGATGCCTTCGGCGCCGACAGGATCATCGAGCACCCAGCTCGCCCTGAAGCACTACGCAGCAGCGTGCACCCTCCCAATACTTTAGCAATCGTGGACGGTAGTCCACAGGTCAGCCCAACGCAGGCGTCGTGCGTGCGAGGAGGAGCTGGAGGCGAAGCTCGAACTCTAGGCACGCAGGGGAGGACATTTGAGGTACAACGCTGGGAGTTGTTCATGCGAGAAGGGCGGCAATGAGCGAAGGATCAGCTACAACGCTGTGAACAGTTCACGCGAAAAGAAGCTTTGGGCGCTACCTCGAGATCCAGAGCCCGCGCGGGCTAACATCATCAGCTACAGGGCTGGGACCAGGTCGTGCGTGCGAGAAGGCCGAGCATTTGCAGCATTGTATGTCGCTACTCAGCGCGGCAGGACGTGGATGGCATACCATCGCCTGACCTGAAGGCTTTGCTTCTAGACTTGTCCCCCTCTGCGATTTCCTCGCTGGGCTGCCTGCCGACTTCACTGAGAGAAATTGGTTCATTTGCTCTGCGAAACCCTGCATGGGCGAAAGATACAGAGACTGAATCAGAAGTAGGTGTCGGAGGCGAGGGGGCACTCATTAGTCAGAGCGATGGACACGTAGCAGCAAGGGGAAAGACAGGAAAAGGGGCAGGGCGACCGGACAGATAAGCAAGATGTAGAATCAACGAATGGTGGAGAAAAACCGTCCCCGCCTACCGACCCGACCCCGCCGTCAGAGTCGTCGCCACTGCCCGCCGTCGCCGTCGCCGTCGCCGCCGTCAGCGTCGTCGCTGGTGTCGCTGGCCGTCGCGCTCGCCGCCGCGCCTGGATGGACAGGAGCACCTTCGAGTGCTTCCCCCGGAGGTCCTCGAGCTCCGCCTCGTGGAGCGCCTTCAGCCTACGCACCTGCCCGCCAACACGGCGCGGGCGAGGCGGCGCCCCGTGGCGGCGCGTCCCCCTGGGAGCCTTGTGCATCCAGGGGTGTCCTCCTGCCTGGGGGGAGACGAAGCATCGGCTACTCAACTCCCGAAGATGCGTCCAAAGATCTGGGATCGGCCCTGGGCCCTCTCCCTGGCGCGCGGAGCACGCCAAGAGCGGCGCCAGAGGCGCCGCTAGGGGGTCCAATCCTGGCATATCGTATCCGCGCGGACCTCCGATAGCCAATGCCTCTACAATGTTGAACTCCTCGAATCTACGTGATTCCTCTTTCTCACTAGTCTTCCTGCCTCCTCGATGTTGCCCTCCTCCCTCATCGCTCTTCTCTCCTCCCTTCCCTCTCTGGCCCACTATGTCCTTCCTGCCTCCTCCTCCTATCTGCCCCCTGCGTCGTCCTACTCTGCCCTCCTGCCCCCCCTCCCACCTTGCTCCTCACTCCTGCTCTTCGATCTCCCTCCTCTCCATCATCCTGCGTCCACCTCCTGAGTTTTTTTTTCCGTCCACCCTGATCCCATCTCCCCCACTTCTCTACAGTACTCTCTCCTCCCCCCTCCGCCTAGACCCCCCCCAAAGGGAAGAGCGGACCAACGATCGAGGCGTCCGTCCCAGCACATGCGGTCAAGGGCGTGGGGCAATGCCCGTTTGGGCAGGGCGCGTGAGGCCGTGGTCTCTTGACGCTGGCTAAATATGGACTCACTCAAAGACCACCATGGTTGTGCTACCGCATGTGACCACCTAATGCCGTCATCGTCGTAATGCTGGCGATGTCAAGTTGCGTGACGTGGCTGGAATCGTGTTGCGTGGTCTCGACGTTGTGTGGGCCCATGCTGATCAGGAGTTTCGGCATTTCGTCGCACCACCAGGTTTGATGTCCTTAATGGTATATCCACCAATGTTGCTTGACGAGCTGGGCAAGGTTCCAAATCAATGCTCATCATGTCCATCGTTCTGCTAAATGCCCGTCTTACTGGGGAACACATCGCCACACCGAATGGAAATGCATATGCACCGAGTCCAGAATACAGTGTCACCCCATCACCTCGGTGGAGGAGTACCGTCTGGGGTCTGTCGGTTGCTCTGCAGTTGAACAAGCTCGTCGTCGTCGTCGTCGTGTGCGCTGACGAAACCTGACGAAGCAGACGGGCTGCTACACACGCCGCTGCAGCTGGAGACGTCAAGTTGTCGGTTACTGCGCATGGGTCTCTGCTCTGGTTGCTCGCGTCAAGTGGCGTTTGCTGGATGGTCAACTATAAACGCACCCGTGGGAGCCGACGACAACTCCAAAGATGCGACAACGGCGCCCAAACACCGTGTCAAATTTGGATTCCCGTCCAGACCCCGCTCCAGTGCGGTACAGTGCATAGATGTTCGGCCCCGAAGGCTGACCTTTCCCGAAACGTACCCAACCTCTTCTTCACGCGAGGTGACTGGTTGTACGAACGCTCCATACAGAAGAACACATCGCCTGATGTGCTGCCCTCATCTCCGCCGTGGCGCCCAGGAGCTCACGAACATGGTGACAGTTGCGCAACTCGCAACCTCCAAAGGAGCAACGAGGTCACGCCTGGATCCGCGTGGCCCCCGACTCCGCCCGCTGGACCTCCCAGGAACCCACGAACGTGGCGGCAATTGCGCAGGTCGCGCCCACCAATGGGGGCCGCGAGGTCGCCAATGGGTTTGCGTGGCGCTTGACCTCCTCGGCGCCCATGACTGTGGCAACAATTGCACAACTCTCGATCTCCCAAGGAGCAACGAGATCCCAGCTTGATCCGCGTGGCCCCGACCCCGCTGGACCCCCATGAAACCAACGAACGCGACGACGCATGCACGGTTCGCATCCTCCCGAGCAACGAGGTCCCAAATGGGTGCGCGCGGCCCTCGACTCTGCAAGGCCTCCCAGAAGCCCACGAACGTGGTGACAATTGCGCAGTCCCCCAACGAGCAGCGAGGTCCAAGCTGGATCCGCGTGGCCCCCGACCCCGCTGGACCGCCCAGGAACCCACGACAGTGGCAACGGTTACACAATTCGCAGCATACCAGGGAGCAACAAACTCCTGAATGTCGTGTCGTTGGCCCCGACTCCGCTGTACCTCCCAGGAGCCCGTGAACGTGGCAACATACGCACAGCTCGCAACAACCCACATAACAACGACGTCCCAAATGGGTCTGCGCGGCCCGTGGCCCCGCTGAACCCCACAAACACGAATGAAAGTGGCACCAGATCCACAGCTCGCAATTCGCAGCCCCCCAAGGAGCAGCGAGGTCACCAATGGGTACGTGTGGCCCCCAGACTTCGCTGGACCTCCCAAGTGCCCACGAACGTGCAACAATTGCACAATTCGCAACCTCCCAGGGAGCCGTGAGGTCCCCAATGAGTCCGCGTGGCCTCCGACCCCGTTGCGCCTCCCAGGAGCCACGAGCGTGGTCAAGGACGCATGATACTAATACAGGAGAAAGCAAAAGCGAAAACAAATATATCGCAATGCTGCATGCAAAACGGGAATCCAACACACAGAGGGGGATGGAACCAAACTGCGCCGTTACGGGTCATGGGTCGAAGATGGACGCCGCCCGAGACGCCCACGCGGCACGGTGCCGACAAGTCGTCCGCGGAAGGCAGTCGCCCCTTTGATCAACGTAAGTGCTGTTTGAATGTTTCAGCCATTACCCCCCACCGCGCCGTTGACATCGGTGGGCAAGGATGTGCTGGAGCCGAACCACGATGCACGGACGCCAGAACTTGTGACGTCTGCTCTCATCACCGCTCGGACGACCCTGCCCCGTGCGTGGTTTGAGTTCGCGCGTTGATTGTCAATCCTCCTAGGTGTTATGTAAATAGAGCGCTGTGGTCTCCACTCTTCTCCTCCATCTCTCCGCTCCAACCTGCCTGCTAATGCGTTGCTACTTGGGCGGCCGCGAACTGCGCAACTGACGCAACTTTTGCGGGCTCCTGGGAGGTCAAGCGAGGGCGGGGGCCACGCGCACCCATACGGGACACCGCTGCTTCCAGGGTGGTTGACCTCAATCATCGCGCGGCGCTGCTGCATCACAGAGCGCACGGTGCTGGAGCGTCACGCAACGCATGGCGCTGTCCTCGGTTGCCCTTTCCTCCCCCTTTCGCAGGCGCCCGTCACCTGCAGCGGCAGCGCGGGCGAACCGAGCAGATAAAGCGCATAGAAACGTACTCCCACCAGCGTTTCTCTCTCTTGCCTCGCAGTCCTTCTTCCCCTCTTCCCTCTTCTTTTGCTCCTCCTCCTCCTCCTCCCCCTCCTCCTCCACTGCTGGCCCCTGTTCTATGTTGCGCAGGTGTGCGACGTGAGTGGCCCGACAGTGTATCGCCTTCCCAAGTATTATTTTGTACGAAGCGTTCACATGAATGATTGCGCCACGTGCATAATGGTTGGGTACGCCTCGGATGGGTGCACTCCTTTCTGGGCCGTGCCAAAAGAAACAATGCACACATGCCACTCGAATGATTGCAAAGCCTGCCTACCCGCACAGAAGCGTCTGCGATCTCAATCGCAAGGGCGTCGTGAAGTGTTGTCTGACCTCCGAGGCACGAAGTCGAGTGTCCCCAGGACAATGATACTCTCTGTATTTGGCAATGAGCAGAAATCGTTATTGAGGGGTCTGGACCCCCGAGTTCCAGGAAAAGTCTAGCGTTCCTGATGTGTGCGTGTCAACTGACTGTTCCAAGGCCGCGGGAGCGTGGCTCGGAATCCAAGCTCCGAGCATGTCCTAAGATGGTCCCGTGGAGGAGTCCTGGGCAGTATTGGAGGCGAGGGGGGCCCTCCTGGGCCGTATTAGAGGGCTCGATCACCCGAAAATCAATGGGCTTCGCACGATGTGTGCATACTTGCCCTTCCAAGCCGGCCGATGGCCCTCGGCGCGTGGCAGGTTGAGCCGCCACCAACGTTGATTGCAGGTGGACGTGGGAGCTTCCCATACGACCGCGTCTCGCGTGGGGATGATGAGGTCCGCAACGTGCGAAACGTACCCCCCTGCCTCTTCCTCCCTCTCCATCCCGCTGCTTAACCTTTGCTTTCCAGCCGTCGCCGTCGCCGTGGGCGAGATTTAGCGAGCTGCGTGCCAACTAAAACAAGTCCGTCTGCGTAACGCGTGACGCTGCTGTTCCTCCCACTTCCCCTCGTCTCGCCCTCCGCCTCCGCATCCTCGCTGCTAATTGTTCCTCCGCCCTGCTCCCCCTCGGGCTCCTTTCTCGTCCTCCTCCCGTTGCTGTTCCTACTCATCCGCGTTGTTGGTCCTTCGTTCTTCCCTCCTGCTTCTCGTCAACCGTTCTTCCCATCTTCATCATCCGCATTCTGAACACCATGCGCGTTCTTCCCACCTCCCACCTCCGTCTCCCGTCCTTGCACGTATTCTTCCCTTCTCCCTCCCTCATTCTGCAGTGGGGCGAAGTAGGAGGAGAGACAAAATAATTAGAGGAAGGCGACGAGGAAGGCGCGGAAACTGTCGAACCTCCGAAAGTATCCCGAATACGTCTGTATGAATTCCAAACTCGTGATGAAGAACCCCGCGCCACTACCCGCTATATGAAAGATGAAACCCGCGGCATGGCAAATTCATCTGAATTCCCGTGCCTCCTCCACATTGTCTTGCCGCCGATACTGTTTCTCATCCTCCTCATCCACATATGTCTCCGTTTCGTTGTCGGCCTCCCGCGACCCGTCCTCTTCCTCCGACTCTTTCTCGCCGGTCGACCCCCACGATCTCTCCTGGAACCCGTTCTGAACCGGATGTCGATGCGGGTGTGGCGACGATGGTTTCAATGAGGCCCCCGCTCAGATTTTCCATAGCCCAAACACACCATCCTCCACCTCCTCCTTCCTCATTTCTGTCCTCCTCCTTCCGTATCCTCCTGATCCTCGTTGTTGGTCCTTCCCTCTTCCTTCCTGCTTCCAATCGCTCGTTTCCCCTTCTCCTCATCCGCATACAATTTCCCTCCTCCC